ATAGGGTGTGTGCGCTTGCCAGACAGACAGAGACAGACATAGGGACAGAAAGCGAGAAATCATCCTCCAGGGGGGATGGCCACGCCGCAATCCCTTCTCCTCCATTCTCCTCTCGGGATCTTGGGCACACACGCACACGCGCCTGGCGTGAGTTTTAAGCCACCGGGTCCAGGACACGAACCGCGGTCGACTACGTGGGAGTCCAGTGACATAGCCATTACGCTAACTGCTGGTTCCCCTACAGTTCAGTTCTGACTACCTAGGCTTCGTGTAGAACCTACAAGTTAAGCACAAAGTTCTCCAGCTCAGACACTACTTGGAGTTTGCAGACCCCATAGATTAAAGACTTAAGTAGAGTTCTTGGACTGCCTACAGTTTTGCCAGCTAACTACAAATGGGGTTCCCATTATTTCTTAGGTTTGCTAATTTGCTAGAATGACTAAGGAAAACACTGCATTTAGGATTACTGACTTGTTATAGAGATACAACTGAGGAACAGTTCGTTGGTTTTGTTGCATACGATAGGTTTGGGGTTGGTAGGCACAGAGCTGCTGCTCCCCTCCAGGCATGCCACCCTCACAGCACATTGATGTGTCCATCAAACCAGAGGGTCTCCAAACCACGTTCAAGGTTTGTTTTTGCCACACACAGAGAAAATGAGAAATCACCCCCTTCCCCAGGAGGTATGCCACACCACAATCTCTTCTCAGGATTTTGGGCTCGCCTTTGGAGGGTCACCATGCCTGGTGTGGTTTTCAAGCCACCAGGTCTAGGGCTCTAACTGTGGTCAGCCATGTGGGTGTCTAGCTCCTTAACCACCATGCTACCTACTGGCTGCCACGTGTGTTTTATAAGTACATTTGCAAATTTTTTGATACTCTTTAGAACATAGGGACTAATCTTTCTCTCCTTAAGTACAGGTGATTTAGTGACTCTTCTAACAAATACGAAGTGGCAGAGGCTATGGTATGTGACTTCTGAGGCTAGTTCACAAAAGGGTGACCAAAGGTTTTCCTTATTTGTCTTTGGATTTCCCTTGGAATTCAGCCATCAAACTGTAAAGAAGCCTAGGCTATAAGGCATGGATTTGGGCTCAAACTGACCGCCAGCAGTAACTGCCAGATGTGAGTAAATGAATCTTCACATCACTCCCACCTCCAACCTTACCTGCTGAGGTTTCAGATACTGTGAAGCAGAGATAAACCATCCCCACCATGTCCTCACAGAAACCTAGAGAGATGATTCTTGCTGTTTCAAGCTACTAAATATGTACTTTATGGAGCAACAGGTAGTAGGAGCCATCCTTTCAGTGAGTTTGTACCTACTCTTT